GATTTGAAATGGGTCTTTTTGAATATGTCTTGAAAATAATTTTTTCGCAATTTCAGGGTGTATGAAAGATTTTGTACTTCCAGTGTCAATCAATACTTTGAGATTATACTCCGGAAATACAATGTATGGTAGTTTGCTACATTTGTCTGTTAAACTCATAATTTCAATTGACTTGGGTGGTCCGTTGAGATTTGTGGTTGTCTCTGTTCCGAGGCTTCTTGCCCTAAAAAATTATCAGAATTATTCTGAGAATAAGCGCATTCATAATTGTCATCATTTGGAAATTCTACAACAGGTTGGTCTTGTACACACAAGTTAAACATAGCCTGTTCTGCGTTTATACCAGGTCTGTTAAAATTTCTACCTTGAAAATTTGGTTGCTGATACGTCTGTCTAGTGGATGTACTCATCGGAGTAGGCCTTGGCAGATTATTGATCTGATTAGGTCTAAAAACGTTATTATTGTGAAAATTCGTTCTATTCTGATTAGGATTATTTGGTCGTACATTATTAGGACTAAATTGTCTTTGTAATACTGGACGCTGTACCGCTTGGTATTGATTCCTATAATTACCAAAGTTGTTGTTCATATGGTAGTTCACATGGTAGTTCATATGGCGAACTAATTGCATATTATTTCGATTAACATTTTTATGTTTATCTACCTTATGATCAAGCTGAAAGTCGTTAGTTAATATATTCAGAGCTTCATTCAAGTCTGAAGGATTTTTCGTCCTCATGAGCGATCCTAGAGGTTCCTTTAAACCTTTTAGAAATACTCTTAATGCTACGCTTTTGCAAAAATTACATATTATCTGAGCTTCTTCACTCACACAATGTGTAGTTAAAAATGATATTTGTAAATTCAATAAACTCTGAACTTTGTTATAAAATTCAAAGGGGGTTTCATTGTTCTGTTTCAATTCACACAATTCTATATTTAGAGTAAATACGTCACGCTTGTCTTGATATGTATTTAAAAGTGCAGTTTTCAAGTCTGTCCAATTTTTTATAATATTGCTACTAATATTTAAAGCTGCATTACCTTTGATTTTCGCTAAAATACTACTCATAAGATATTCGTTCTGGAAGTCATTTTCATCCTCTAATCTATAAAATTTATTCACTAACTTTTCGCAAATATCTATGAATCTTGGTAATAATTCTTGTTGACCATAAAATTCGGGTATCATGTTAAGATACTCTGGGCGTAATGACATGCTTGATTGATTTACTTGATTGTTGTTCATATTGACTGTACTATTTAGTATACTAGGTCTTAATTGCAAATTCCTTAAACTATGTTGGATATGTTCCGTATCCGACTGTGAGTCCGAATCAGTATCACTCAATGTATCATCAAACAGCTTTTGATTGTTTTCACCCCTGTAAGACATTCGTACTTACAGTAATAATCCAATCCGTCCCATGTGTCCGTATGCCTGGGCCACTGCTGGGTTGCCTGTCCTGGAGCAGATGTTCCTTCTGTCCTCTGGGCTGCTGTCGTCTTGGTTTCTCGATTTGGGTAGGGTTCTATCCCAAATCTGGTTCCGGTGATCACGGTAACGATATCGATATTCCGTCGGATCGTTCGCGACCAATCGCGGTTGGTTTCGTTATAGCCAGTAAACCGTTGAAACGAACCGAAAAATGTCCCTTTTTTCGTCTGACTATCCTACTGGCTGCGCCACTCAAATATCTTTCTTCAACGAAAACGTTTTTAAAAAGATTTATTTTTGAGAAAGACCAAGTACAATGATGTTAATTGAATGAGTTCTGAATCGAGACTGACTGCAAAGTTCATTATACAAACCAAAGTAAAGAACAAATGAAATACAATACTGTAACTGATAAGAAAGGCGCGTGGAGGCAAAAGTCCTTGTTCAGCATATTCTTCTCTGTAGACTGGTACATAACTTAAATATATCAATGCTCTATATCATAAATATAACTTACCCATTTTTTAACGCGAGTTATCGCATTGAATTCAAAAAAAATAACGCAAAACTATACACCTAACCTCATTTGATGTGGCTCAGTTCAGAATCATAAACAAACTGAAGCGTGGCAAAGCGAGACGTCCATACCCTTAGTTAGGCGCTTTGTAAGGTAAATGGCATCATTTGTGGCCACTGCGCCCTGAAGGAAAGCCGTAGTTTTTAAATGACGCAGTATTTGTTTAAACGTACACATTTGTGCCTATGTCCTTGAAGAGGTTAATGCTCATGTTTCCTTGGTGAAAAATATTCTCGAGCGTTCTGGCAGTGATCTGTTTTGTAACGAATGATGCCAATCTCGTGAAGGATACACTTGGGCCTGCCTCTGCACAAGGTGGTTCAATCCAAAAATCATAAGGCCAAACTTTAGAGTTTTTCAAGTAAGGTATTTTTGAAAAAGGTTAAGGCTGCAACTTTGAATAAAGAGTACAGTGGTAGTTTTGGATTTTATCTTGATCCTCATATTCAAGAATTACTTTTTTTTAATGGAGGGTGTGAGGCTAGAGAAAAACTACTAGACCTGAATCGTGAGATGTGCGATGGCCCCCTTTCTTCAATTATCACAAGGGCATTTGCTCTAAGAATCACGATGCCGCCACTCCCTCCCATGGTCTTCAATTTTTCATTGCCATTCTACCCCCGTCCCCTTTCGCCCCTAGACGATCATCTTCCTGTACAGTAATCCTGCAAGCACCACTGCATATTCCTAAATCCAACCTTGCTGGAACGCCTCTTTGACACCGGCAGTGGAAATTGAAAATTACACGTTCCAATCATTCTCATGTACAATTATGACCTCGAAATTAAGGTTCAAGATCAAATAAAAGGCCGCCATTAAACTCCTTGTATAAGGTTAGTATAGACCTGGCCTTAACCTTTTTTAATTATACCTTACCTAGAAAAATACAAGGCCTTTCTGTTAGTTTTGTTACACAAGGAACATTTATTGAACTAACAGTAAGTTTTGTTTAGAGCAAAAACGTGGCATCGTTTGTAAACGATATCGACTGGTACCAACTGGAGGCACAGCTGCAACGAGACTTGGTTCTAGTGGTGAAACGGTGTACGAGGCCTTCCCAACTCAACGCTGGACCTTTCGGCGCAATGAGCTACGGTACCATACAAGCGGTAAGACAGCAGCAATAAATGACGCAGTTATTTGAGATTCCATTTAAAACGAATGTCAATACTAAACTACTCCACTTAATTAGTTTACACCACTGCGAGAGTGCGAATAGCAGTTGTGGTGCTTCTGGACTCTGGCCGTTGATTGTCCTTTCCACCGTCGTTGAGCCTTTATTTTTTAAAATTGTCCAATCGCGAAGCTTTCCAGCGCCTACGTCGAACTTCCAGACGATGCCAATCAATACTTCTAGAATTCTGCCCAGGTCGGCAGAACGATCAAAAACATGAACTGAGGCTCCTCCATCGATCGGCCATGCACAGCCGCGTAACTCTGGTTGCCTAAGCGTCGATGCTTCTGGACACCTGTCGAATCTTCTGGTCGATATGTACGAGGGTGCTTAGCTGGTACCTAGAGGTCCAGTTATATGAGGGAGTTACAATGAAATATGTGCACGGTACTGGTCTCGGTTAATAAGGTGGTATGGGTACGCTACATGCGCGTGAGTAGCTTTCACCGGCAGCGCTATTACATAAAAAACTATATATTGTAAAAAAATCTATAAAACGTCACCTTGTGCCCTAGGTCGCCGCCTACCACAAGTAAGGATGAAGTGAAAGTCAGCTAGTCCAAAGGTGACATTTTGTAGGAAAAAATACATAATGTTAAAAAACCTACATAATATCATAAAATCGATATGGTGTCACTTTAAGTTACGTAATACGGGTGCGGGGGGAAGAGATCAGTACATATAAACTAATGATTTCTAGTTCATTTCGGTGAATTAGTTCAATAGGCGCGTTCATTAAAATGAACTTGTTCTATGATCTAGTTCGCAAACGAACTATTGTACGCAACAATACCACATAACGCGTTATCAGGCCAGTGAAAACGCCGACTTTCATCCGATCGCTGGGACATTTTTTTGGTTTTTAATTTTGTTTATGATTAAAGTTTGATCGCTATGCTCACATAGTAGATGTAGCTATGAGGTATATACGTTTTATAATAATTTCAGAAAATTTCTATACACTATTTTTCGTTTTCACCAACGAAAAATGAACCAAAGAAAGACTGAGACTACTTTGACCATCAGGTAAAACGTCTTTCCAGAGTTCAAAATCCGGTCGCAGCAGATACTATCGAACTGGATAAATAGAGTATTTTAGGACAGAGCAAAAATCTGTCTTGGACTGCTTGAGATGATTAAAAACGTTTGTTTGTTCTTATCTATACGACATATCTGTGCCACGCGAGCGGCTCTTTTTCGAAAGCTGGGCACGTCTTGTCAAAAAGAAGGAGTAGACTAGAAGCCGATAATGTTCAAAAATAATGTTATTAAATGGAAAATGGTAATTCACTTACATTTTCAGTTTAGTATTGTTTTAACTTCTTCATTAGCCTTAATGGGTGGTATTGTATAAAAGTTAGCCATTGTGTTTGTATTTTAGCTTTTGTAGCTAATATTATCATATTAGCAAATTTCCCCGAAATAATTTTCTGGTTTTGTTGGTGCAAGTTGCTCAATGTGGTATTTAAAACATGGGCGCATAAATTGGGTACACCAATTTTTGTGGGAAAACCTTTTGTTTGTCGACAAAGAATGAGAAAACGTGTTTTTTTTTGGGATTCAATCGAAAGTGTTGACAGGAACAAAAAAACTTTTCATTTAAGATGAAATTCTTCATATCCGTAGGATTTATACTTTTAAATAACAACAAAAATGGATTTTATCGGAAAGTAGTTTTTTGAGAATTTCTAATTGTTTATCTCAGAACACCTCGCTCATTGAATGCAGAACTAGCCCAAGTCCATTTTTGCCGAATTTGCATTAACAACACCATGGGATGCTACGGCGCATGCCGGATTTGAGTGCAGAACTAGCCTATAATATCAACACGTTATCCCCTCTACCGCGTCTATTATGCAAATATCCCAACTTGCGACGCGTTCCGAGATTCAATGCAGAACAATCCCTTGGCGGTTGCGTATGCTAAGTCTGTGCTTTGGACATAGGCTAGTTCTGTATTAGAATTTGTATACCAAGTACATAGCTGTGGACATAGAATACTTCTGCAATACGGTAACTTCCTTAAGTAGTGATATTATTTTGTATATCGCGGTCACAATGAATTCTAGAACTTTAAAAATGATACAACTGGTGGCCCCGAAAAAATCAGAAGGCACCCCGAAGGCTGGTGAGACAATAAATTAAGTTTTAATAATTTCCGAATTATGTATGGGTATGATTTGTAGGCATACAAAATCAAGAGAAAAGGAGCTTATCTACATCGTTTACTCCGAATGCCAAACAAAAAATTGGAGAGGCTATTACAGAAGGTACGTGGCATTAGACTTCGATACTGTATAAACTATAAAGTTATAATCTACAAAAGACGATTTGAGGGTGACTCGAAGAGGAATAAGAAGGGAAAACTGATTGGGTTTTAGGATTATAGCTAAACAATTGTTAGCCCGACTATTATTTTCTGTAGGTGTATCTCAAAAATTTTCCCACATTCGTTCGTGTTGCCTTTCTCTTAATTTACAATGTCCAATTTGATTCTAGAATATGTACAAGAAGATGATGGGGGATCAACAACTTCGAACAACCAAGCTCATAATGTTCCCAAAATACCTTCTTCGGCAAGAAGCATAGCTCAAATGATGCAGAACAGTATCACCCAACAGCCTCCTCTTTTTTTGATGCCTTCGGAAAGTTCAACTTACATCCTACAAAATAACTCTGTAACTATTGAGGAATTTCCATCCAATGAAATCCTTAAGATCAATAGTCCCGCTGTAGTTGAATTGAACGGTGGAGATACATAGGAAAAAACTGTTCTACAAAATACTGACTCCATATCAAAATCCTCAAATACTATAGAGGATGATTTTATGCTTTCTGAATGTGAGAGTGACTCATTTGCCACCAGTGATGATAGCAATGGCATGGACTATATACCAACATTAAGGAAAAACTCAACTCACAGTAGAGATGCATGGAGAAGAAATGAAATAAAGAAGCTGCGGAATCTTGGCGAGAAGTAGAAGACTGGAGAGGAAACCTCCGTCCAAAAAGGCAACCAAAACCTCCTTGTACTAACTGCAGACAAAAGTGCAGCAAAAAGTTCACAGAAGAAGAGAGGAAACAGATGTTTGAGAGATATTGGCAACTGGGGGACGTCAATAGACAACCGGATTTTATTTCCCAGTATGTAAATATAATGGACAAGAAAAGAACACGGTTGAGAAAGCAGGATGGAAACAGTAGTAACGAAGATACCTGTACAGAAAACACAACAGGAAGAAAAAAGGCGTTTTCCTTTAATACATTTTTAAATCGTCGATAGAAAATAGCGGTCTGTAAAACTTTTTTTATGAATACTTTAGGCATAAGCGCCCTGGTCATTAAGACAGTGTTAAAAAAAAATGGGTAGCACCGGTACAGTCGGGGCAGATCGGTGTGGTAAGGCATGCAAGAGTTCTAAATTGAGTGATTCAATAAAGCAGTCAGTGAGGGACCACATTAATCTATTCGAAACAGTCGAGAGTCACTACTGCCGAAAAAACACTTCAAAGCAATTTCTGCCACCAACGCTTAATATTTCGAAGATGTATGGCCTTTATCTTGAATATTGTGAGCAGAATAACATCCAACCTGCGACAGAAAGCATTTACAGAATAATCTTCACACCGAATTCAACTTCTCATTTTTCATCCCTAAAAAAGCTTTGTATGATATTTGCAAGTATGATGGCGGAACAACAGAAGAAAGAACTGAAATGGAAGAAAAATACCAGTTGCACAGAAAGAACAAGGACATTGGACGGGATTTAAGGAATGCTGATAAACAGACGGCTAAGCAAAATAGAGAATTTTGTGCAGCAGTTTTTGATTTGGAACAAATACTGCCTCTCCCCAAAAGTAATGTTGGTATGGCATATTACAAACTTAAATTAACAATTTCACGATTTTTAACTTGGCAAATTCTGAAGGAAATTGTTACATGTGGTACGAGTCTGTTGGTAAAAGGGGGAGCTCAGAAATAGGCAGCTGTTTGATGCGCTTTATCGACCTCAAAGTACATGAAGATACGAGAGAATTTTCTTTCTATTCCGACAATTGTGCAGGTCAAAATCGAAACAAATATATTTTTAGTACGTATAGCTTATTAGCACAGAAGCACAAGATTGTGATAAGGCATACATTTTTGGAGAACGGTCATACGCAAACCGAAGGGGATTCGATGCGTAGTGTAATTGAACGAGCATCTAAGCTTATCCCTTTATTTACCCCTGATCAATGGTATTCTTTAGTACGCAGGGCAAAAAGAAGTAAACCGTATGTAGTAACTGAGATGGACAAAGAGGATTTTTTTGATTTGAAAGCGCTTGCCAAGGATACCATTTTGAATTGGGATCGTGATATGGAAAATGAGAAGGTTTCTATAAATAAAATACGAATTTTAGAGGGATCCTTAAAATTTCCAAATAAAATTTTATTCAAATACGACTACAATGAACCGTTCAGAACAATTAATTTATTAACAAAAGGCAGGAGGACAATTGATGTTGATCTAAAAAATATACAGTTAAAGCAATGTTACAAGGGTGCTACCCCGATCAGCAAAAAAGGTATGATCATCTGCAATTCCTATGTGACAAGGGGACTATACCTACTCGGTACCACAGTTTCTACAAGAACTTACAGTATTCCAACGTAAGTAGGGATGGCGACTCAGAAGTTCATCATTTTTCTGTTACAAAAGGTTTCTTAATACTACCACTTTTTTATATATCAGGTAGCAATAGTTGATCTGGTGGGGATACTGAATTATATTTTTGTTTCCTGTTATTATTTTGAGCACTGTCCATCGCTTGCCTGAATGCCTCGTTTATGTTTTGGTAGTTAATTATAATATTATGTACCTGTATAATAAGACTGCTTAGTTGTCAATAAATGTTTTCAACGTATTCCCGTTTCTATTTTTGTTCTGAATAAGCTGAATGTACATATATAGATACAAACATGGGTCAGAACTAGCCTAAGTTACTTATATTACGACTGCACCTTATCCTATGTGGACATAGGATACAACTTCCACGAAGACAAGTATCCTAAGTCCACAAATTTCGGTTTTGTAAGCCTAAATAAAAAAAAACCTTAAAAGAGCAAAACACATGCAAGTATACTCATTTTTTTTTTTTATACTCCAACTACCACGAAGGCCTAAGGCCTAAGCACCCATTGGTTACCGTGGGGCTATGGGGGATACATGGGAAAGGGGGGACGCCACACGGACTCTGGCGAGGGAACACGTGTGCATGCAACATGCACACATTCTGGCTCCGCCTACGAGAACCGCCGGGTGGTACCTCCGCGTTCGACAGTCAGAGACCATCTACCACCTACGGGACCATCTACCACCTTCATATTATGAAGACATTTTCATTCAAGACTTGCAAAAAGTTTAAGACAAAATCAGAAAAAATGATCTCCTGTAAAATTAGCATTTTGTGACTTGAGCTAGTTCTGCATTCAATGAGCGACTGTTTTCCGGCCACCACTACTAGTTTATTGAGCAATATACAGGGTTCGCTCAAATAGCATTTAATAGCAAAATACACGTGTTTACCTTGCCGATATGAATCAAAAACCATTCAGAAAGATAAATGTTATTTTTATCCGAAAAACACAGGTTACGTTTTTTCTTCTAAACAAATTCAAACATTTCGTATTTGTGAGTACTTGAACAAATGCGCTACGGTATGCGAAAAGCATATGTTACTATATATACATTTTAAAATAAAGCGGATGTGCCTATCATCTTTTGCTGCGGATTACGAAGAAATACGAAATGTTTGAATTTGTTTAGAAAAAAAGACGTAACCTATCCTTTTTTGAATAAAAATCAGATTTATCTTACGGAATCGTTTGCGATTTATATCGGCAAGGTAATCCAGTGTATTTTGCTATAAAATGCCCTTTGAACTAACACTGTATATTGCTCAATAAACTAGTAGTGATGGCCGGAAAACAGGTGTTGTGGGATAAGCAATTAGAAATTCCCAAAAACTACTTGACCAATTTTGTTGTGGTTATTTAGAAGTACGAATCCTACGAATTTGAAGAATTTCAAGTATCTGCGAGAAATCATCGTCGCATTACCAACAAGTGACAAAACCTGAAGTTTGCCTCGGTTTTCGGTCATAACATTTTTGCTAATAGTTGGATCTTTTTACGATCTCATTTTGTAGATCTCATAGATACCTAAAAATTTTATGTGAGTTTTTTCGTTTCTGCCTACACTTTCGATTGAATCGAGAAAAACACATTTTATCATTCTTTGTTGTCGAATAAAAAGTTTTCCCACAAAAATTGGTGTATCCATTTTATGCGTCCATGTTTTGAATACCCCCTTGAACAACTTGCAGCAATAAAACCAGACTTTACAATTATTTCGCAAACCAGGGGAATTTTCGTCTAATATGATTAGACTATAACAGCATTTGTTATTATCATTTTGTCCTGTTCGATATCCTTGAACTAAGTCACTATTGTATCCAGGCAACCACAGTTATAAAACCTTCTACTTGCTTCGTTGCCTAGGGTGGTGTCCCGTCTCCTACCTCATACGTTCACTCAAAAAGACCTCAAAAACAGCTTCAACAAGAAGATAATTGGCCCTAGCAGCTGATGAGGCCAAAGAAAAGGGGAGAAGACCGACAACAGTTGCTCAAGATAGGCAACGGGTGGACAAAAAGAAGCTTGTCGATTGAGGTGGCCAGAGTCAAGCAAGAGTCGAAGACAAACTGCCAACCGACTGACTGACTCCAGTCGACGTGGAAAGAGCAAAGGCTCTACAACCTTAATGCGAGGCTTAGTTCAAACCCCCTCGAGCTATTTCAGGAAAAATGGGCAAAATTATTGAGCGGGTAGCTCGCGCTCGGCAGCAGACACTGGGGAAAAATGTGCAGCCACGCAGCCTCACTCCAAGGCAGGGGGCGAGAAGTGAGGAAGAGCCAGTTACTCTTTCCCCACTACTCAAGGTTTGAGATTGCCTGGAACAGGGGTGGTGGAGGGACCGCCCAGGGTAGGAGAGTGTGTGTGAGTGTGTACGTTGACCCACAACTATTTCGGGTAATTCCGTAGCTTAACTACACCAGCCGTTTTTGATGAAAGAATTATTTCAGACCCTACTTTTTGGGAGTAGATGAAAGAAATGGAACTGAAGATGAGCGCAAACATTTAAGTTCTGAAATATTTTACTATGTAATCACGGTATGGTCGGACTCCGAATGTAGCATTATTAGTTAATTAGTTTAATCCTTAAGGAAACATATAGCAATCCCGTCCAAGGAGAGTTTTTCTCTTCGCTATGGATGTTGTTGTCCGAAGGTAGGTAGGCAGACGGTCTCTGACTGTCGAACACGGGGGTACCACTCGGCAGAGAGAGACAGGGCCAGAGAATATGTGCCCACGTGTTTCCTCCGTGTGGCGTCCCCCTTTCCCTGTATCCCTCATTACCCATGGATGTTTAGGTCTCAGGCCTTCGTGGAGGATCAAGTATATAAAAAATGGACCCTCTGGGGACTGATATGTTAGGAAGCTTGTGTTCACAATCTCAACTGACACAGATTTACTAACTCGGCACCTTTCAGGTAACGGTTGAGATAGCAAAAGTACTAGGCCCCGTTTCGGTTGAGCTGCAGGTGGAAAATGCCGATGACGTAAAGTGGAACTGTGAACGTTAGATTGAAAACATTGATCTAGCTCCAGTCACATTTATGCCAGCCAGAACACCCACAATGGGCTGCTCTGCGGTTCATCTTCGAAAATGCAAGGATATGAGACGTTCGTTCTGACCATATTATCGGTTAGAGGAAATATTATAACACAAAAATATCATAAAATAACGAGTTTTGGTCGGCACTTTCACGAGATGATCTCTGCAACTTTTGCACTCGCGTGCTTTAGCGCCAGACAGTCTTCATTCGTTTATCGGAAAACTGCAATGAAATTAGACAAGTGGTAGTGCTGAAATATCTGATCAAGGAAAGTGATACTCTAATTAAGTTGAGCAGTTTATTTTCTGATCACGTTCAGTACCGATTTTAATTCAAGATTAAATCGTAGATTATTTTAGTTATGGTTCAAAAAATATTTAATCATCATGAGACCAAACTGTTCATATAGGAGTATTGGAACGAATAAATTTTCCTTATAAAGAAGATATTTCAACATTGGGCGAACTGTAGATTTAATTTTTGTCCAACATTTTCTCTCATTTACAGATTATAAAAACTTCATATTCGTACATGGCCTTTATGAACCAAACGATCTAATCTTGCTGTTGACTCTGCTTTAAAATATGACCCTGTTAATTATTGTTGTACATTTTATATAGTAATATATATTTTCGAAAATTATTCACTAATTAATACAATGTAAATAACTACAAACAACTTAATATATAAGATTGTAAGCACAATCAACCCCAAATCTGGAATTTTTCAAAAAGATAACAGATTTGATTCATTTATATGCAATGTGAAAAACTTACTAGTTGGGAAGCATTTTTTATCGAATACGAAAGATCGCAAAAAAATTAAATATTCGTATTTGGTCACATGTCACATTGTACTCGACGAACGAGCCAAGGCGGTGCTGCATTCCTATATCTTTGCAAGACAGCGTTTTTTGTATGTGAAGGGTCTCAGAAATAAGGCACATGCAAAATTTTCACAAAATGTATTCATTCATTTGGGAACATCATGCGTTTAAAGATAAGTACATATTTATATTTTGATAAAAAACAGACCTTTCAATGGCATTGCAATTCTTTAAAATAATTATTCGTCACATTAAAGCATAAGTGAATAGCTCTTTTGTCGCACTTCATTTACAATTACTCCTAAAAACTGCTCTATTTCTTTTATATCCGTGGTCAGTGGTTTGTTAGGTCTCATCTGTGCACTGGGCAAGAAATTCATCTGTGAAAAAAAATTTGAACAAACTGTATGCACCTCGCAACTGCAAGATATCTTCTGGAAGATCACTGTTTCCAAGAAATGTATTTTCTTGAGAATCTCTTATGATTCTTGGCGGCTTCCACGTTATATTATCATCAGTCTTGGAGAAGAAAAACTTGGTGGAAGATGAAATAGTTGCGCGAGAGGTATATCATTTGGATCTGAATCAGTGTCTTGCAAGTCTTGCCTACCCAAATTATTCGTTGATATTGGCGTTCCTACTGTAAATAGAATGAATATCAACAAATTTTAAACAGGAAGTACTTTTTATCTCACCTTGATCCTCGTCATCTGATAGTTCCGAATCCTCGCTGTCAGATGGAATATCACGAATAAACTGAACTTTTACGCTCATAAAATGCACACGGTTTTACTTCATTCATTCCATTGTCGTTATGAATCTATAATAGAGAATTCTATTTAGTACTGAATGGAAAATAAACAATCATAAACCATATATGCATAATGTTCCTGGATGGGAACATTAAGGTTATGTTATCTCGTGGCAAAAAATATCATCAAACGTATTGACTTTTGTACAATATTATTCAAACATTAAAAATTGAACAGAAAAAAATTAAAACTTATAATTGCATACCGCATAAAGAGCTATGATAATATACTAAGTGACATATAAATCCGAACACCCAGTTTAAATGGTTGTATTTTAATAAAAGTTAGTGAATGTAGTTATCTTACTGTAAATAACAAGTGAAGAAATTTTCAGCCTTATCAGTTAGACATTCCGGTTTTTATACTGCTTTTTTTTAATTCACTAACGCTCTAAAAATGAATATTTCAGCCGCAGTAAAGAATCAACGTTGGCGGATTTTGGTTCTTGACATCCTTTACGATCGGTTACGATGCCTAGAGTACGGAGACCTGTACGATTTCGTCAACTTAGTGAGTTTGATAGGGGCCGTATAGTGGGACTTCGGGAAGCTGGACTTTTTTTTCGGGCAATTGCAGTTAGAGTGCAAAGAAGTGTAGACACTGTGGTTAGGTGTTGTCAGGCATGGCTTCGAGAAGGCCGTACGCAAAGAGCAAGGGGCACTGGACGCCGCTGTAGAACAACAGACCGTGAAGATCGCCGCCTAAGATTATTGGCCTTAAGGGACCGTTTCTCCACTACCATGTCCATTGCAAATGAATGGTTTGCAGAACATGGAAGACCTATTGGCATGCGAAGTGTTTACCGATGAATGAGAAGTTTTGGCTTGTTTTCATACCGGCCACACTGGGTCCTCCCTTTAACTCGAGAACACCGACGTAATCACCTTGAGTGGTGCAGACAACGGTCACACTGGAATCAGGAATGGAACAGTATTGTCTTTAGTGACGAGTCTCGATTTTGTTTAGGCATGCACGATGGTCGTGCCAGGGTTAGAAGGCGACGTGGTGAAAGGAGGAATCCACAGTTTTTTGTTGAAAGACATGTTCATCACACTGTTGGAGTTATGGAGTTATGGTTTGGGGTGCTATAGCTTATGGTTCCAGGTCACCTTTAATCTTCATCAGAGGTAACATGAACGCGCAGCGTTATATCCACGAAGTTCTAGAACCCCATCTTTTACCCTATCTTGACACCCTGGCAGATCCAACTTTCCAACAAGATAATGCCCGACCACATGTTGCAAGAGTCACAATAGACTTCTTTCAACATAATGATGTCACATTGTTACCATGGCCACCAAGATCTCCCGACTTATCCCCAATTGAGCACGTGTGGGATATCATGGGTAGGAGATTGCTCAATTTGCAACGTCCTCCTCAGATTCTAGAAGCACTTCGAAAGGAGTTGGTGGTTGCCTGGAATGAGATACCACAGGATGCCATTGACCACCTGATCAGAAGCATGCCTAGGCGCGTTGGAGAATGCGTAGCACATCAGGGTGCATCCACACATTATTAAAGGTCAAAGGGCTTTAAAGCAGTGCAATCATTTTGACATTTTTATCATTTACTTATTATGCTTCATTAAGTACTTATACAAAATTTTATTAAAATAAAACCATTTAAACTGGGTGTTCGGATTTATATGTCACTTAGTATATTTACCACGCTGCCAACTCAAATGCAAGCAATGGGATACTCCTCGAAGCATCTATCGGTTAAAATACTATACAAAACAGGGCCCGATATCTCACGCCGGGAATACACTCGAGCCGAGGCAAGCCGCGCACCGAACGAGGCAGCCTCAGCGCGATGCGCTAGTGTGAACAGCGCTCCAACACAGCTGCGAACAGGCTCGGTTTGCCTCATGCGCTGCGCGACCTGAGCCATCGGCTCGGTTGTCGGTCCATCAAAGTGAGCACTGGCCGAACAGTGCCGCGCAGTGTGTTCGGAATTTTAGATCAGCATTTGCCGAATATAGAGTCTGTTTTTGGTTATTTACAAATTGTGGGACTAACTTCTGTACTTAAATCTAGGAATTTTTCATTGCTCCACTCCGATCTGAAAGATAAATTATTAATTTGATTTTTATTCCAATTCCCTCAGTCCTCGCGTGCAAATTCCATGAAGTTAATCAAGCTTACGTAGTTTTCGTCGACATCTTCTAATCTTCTACAAGTGAACGAAGTAATAAAACGAAAAGAAAAGGAAATCAAAATGAGCCGCTCCACTAAATAAGTAATTACTGAGCATGTGCTCCTGTACGGATCAGCTGTGAGCATGCAGCGGCTCGCGTCAACACGTTGTTTCGGTGAATCGCATTTCGTTTCGCTGCAAATCACATCGCGGCGCGCCGAGGCTGCCTCGTTCGGTACGCTTCTTGCCTCGGCGCAAGTGTATTCCCGGCAGCAAATTTGGATGTTATGCATTAAATGGAAATCAAAACATTAGATGGTAACACTAAACAACCTGAAAATATGATGTTCCCGTTTGGGAACCATATGCAATAGAGGGCTAAATATGCAAACGTGTAAAGTTTAACTAAGTTAACAGGGGGAGGGGGCCACGGCACCCTGGCACCCCCCTTCAGGCGCTCATGAGTCGAGAACCTTGCTTACTGAAGTCCACTATCGGTTTTTCTAAATAGCCGTCTATGGTGTTTGTGATCCAACCCGATTCTTGGCGAAAAGCGAATACTTATGTGAACATTGTATGGTAATTAAAGGGTACTATGAAAGTTTTGCAATACAGCTTTATTTATCGACTTTGTTCAAAGTAATTTCCACCACATTCAATACACTGCTCCATCTGCTTAAACCAGTCCTTAAGCCAGCTCTGCCAAGTTTCATCCGGGAGTGCGGCACACTCGTTGTCTCAAGCCCTCAGGAGGTCCGCATCGCTAAAAAACCATTTTCCTTTTAGCTTCATTTTCACATGCGAATTATGTTTGCAAGTGCCGAACGAGGGTTTTTAAAAAATAACTTTTATTTCCCGCTGAAGAATCTAACTACCACTACAATAGTTGATAGCTATCTGATTGCCAGACAAAAGGTACAACGCTTTTTATAAAGTCGTATAATAGAAATACACACATAAGCTAATTCTTAAGAAGCGTGGAGGACGTATCACTGTATCAGGTTGCACGTATGAGATAATTCTAAGTTTTATAACAACGGTAATAGAAGGATACAAGGTAACGGCAAGATGATGCAATATAATAATTATATTGTATAGAGTGAGTCAAACTATATAGCTTGCGGTAACAGGGCAAAGCCGCAGGGAGCAAGAGCTGGACTGTACGGAAGGTGCTCAATAAATTTTGGCTGTAGGTTTTTCATAAACTCTAGGACTTTAACCCTACATTTGTCGCGTGATAAATTTAGGATAGTTTGGTCGCGTCGGTCCCCGAGACCGGCTTTGCTAGGTAGAAAAAAGTCGCTTATTACGAAGTAGGTTTGACTTTTTTTGAAATAGAAATGATAATACTGCATATTTTAAACCAGTTTTATTTAAATTAAAAACATATCCCTATAAAATAACAAGCAAAATGCAAAGAAGAGGTATCTCTAAAAAAGGGTGGTAAAAAAGTGAAAAAAAAAACATTGCTATACTGAAGTATCGAAAAACGTTATACAAAGGTAAACTGAATTATTTACAATCGTTACATATGCCAAATAAGTGTTCTAAGCACAAAAAAACACCAAAATGTTCGCATTTATATTTTGTTTTGCGGTTTTTCTTAGATCCACAAAATTTGCATCTTCCAATTTGCCCTCTTTCAACTGGAGCTAATACCAATGAAGTATTGTATTGCAACGCCTAAAGTTATATATATATATATATATATATATCATAAATTTGGCATAATATCCATGGAAAATGAAACACATGCAGTTTTTTGTACATTTATTATCTATATTTTTTTCTAAGAAATATCACATTTTTTACACACTTTTCTCTATGATAATCATAAGTTATCTCTTAAAAAGGTTATCTCAAAAGACCATACACTAAATTACAATAAAATAAGTAAAACAAATAAATGTTTGTTGTTTTAAGTAAAAAATACACTGAAAAATAAATCAGTCTCTGATGATAAACAAAAACAAAACAACGATTTAACTAGTTACTATAGTATAGTTAATATGAGGAAGAAGTATGTCATCTGAGTAAAGCACAATATTAAGTCATTGTTAGACATGAATCTTTTCAATGTTTAAGCGCGACTAACAAAAATTTTATGATTTGATGTAATAAAATTAGTAAAAAGGAATATGTCTCAGCCTAATTAAAATAATAGATATATAAAGAAGCGTTACTACTATTTAGGTGTCTCATAAACGGAATCAATGAACATTATTAATAAGTTTTGTTGCATATGACATTTTAGCACTATTACAACAAAAAAATATCACTCAGAATTCTAAGGTGCATTCAAATCAAGAAAGTAGCTCTGAGTAAAAAAACGCTAAATGTATGTTACTTAACACTTTCGTTTTTAAAAGTGGTGATCTCGCTTATCATTTGAAAAACTGTGCAACAGATTGTTCTGTCTTCATCATAATCTCTTTCAAATGACATTGCAATCCCAAGTGTGACTTTTCAATTTCATAAGACTATCCAGATATCCAAATTGTTCCACGCACAAGCATACATACGCGAAATTACACATTTAATCTAAAATGTAAAAGTGACCATAAGCAGAGGTAGCAATGAAACAAATAACGTTATGGTAGAGGTAGAAGCAGTGCTTGTTTTTTCCTGCGTGCTGGCAGCCACTTCTTTAGCGTGGACGCTTCCCTCCCCGCACGGCATTTGTTTTTTGAGGAACTTGAAGAAGGCGTCCACGATGTTAGCGGGCGTGCTGTCCTTGCACTTCTCCAGCTCAGCGTTGATACACGTGCGCACCGTTTCGAAATCTCTGAAACAATGCAAGTTTTTTTTACTAATCGGTTTATGTCATTTGAGGGATCATACTTTTTACTTCCCACGGCACTGGCGAGGAAGTCTTGTAGTCACGAAAAAACGGAAAAGATAAGAATCGGTCAAACTTCGTTTTTTGGCGTTTCAGGGGCTTGTGTTCATTGTTAAAAGTCTAATAAATTGATGGGTAGTGGTTGTGTGGGTGGAGGAGGATGTATCTCAATCGCTTGAAGGTAGTATGTCATATATTGATACGCTTCTATCCTCACTCTTCGCTTCATTACACGCATATATTTCCCCATATATTTGCTCTTTATAAGACAGAATAAACAGAAGAAAAGATAAAATATTGTCGTAAAGGAGGCTGGGTCTGAGTCTCATCGACCGCAGACGCATCAGATCGAAGGCGCTTAAATATGAGGGCCCGCAAGATTTTTTCTCAGTGGGGTCGATTGGACATTGGTAGAAGAAAAGATGATTATGTATCAGTACCAAACAATTTTGACAGCGAGAGGTAGCAAATTGACTGTCGGTCTTTTTGTTCGCTAATGCTTGGTCCGTCTATAACTTGGAAAGTAACGGTCGGATTTTAATAAAATTTTCACACAAGGTTACTACTATTCCCAGAACGAAAAGCTTTGTAGTTTTTGAAAATCGAGCGAGTGGTGGCGGACAAAATGGCCAAAAACGAAAGAAATTAAAATCGCTCTAAATTCCTTTTTTGACATTTCAGAGGATTTTTAGAGGCGAAAATTTAAAGGGTGGGGTTGTAGCGGAGGTGGAGGAGAGTTTATCGCAATTTTTTTGTTAGCATATTAATACACTTCCAATCCAGATAATTCTACGCACCTATTAGACATATAACACACATCATAGATGACCCCGTACATTTGCCCTTGAAGATTAGAACGATAAAAAAATGTTTTCAACAAGTGTTCACGCATCTCTGAGTAATGGCCACGGCCAGTGTGCCGGTTTCGTATATATCCTGCATCACTGACGCTTTGTGGGCACTGTGCGGGCGGTCTGCCGCCAGTGCCGCTTGTGACCCATCATGCTTTCAGACAACCTTTCAGATATTGGAGAGAGTAACACGGCGTTGCCAGATAAACGGTACTATGGCTAGGGCAGGGAAATAACGTTATGGACTATTTATACAGACCTGTTTGACGGACTCGATTCGTTTAATTTCTCTCTTACACATGTTCCTTACTATTTTTTTTTCTTAGAGGGTCTAACTTAAACAAGCTGATTTCGTCTGTCCAACCAAAGACAGTCAGCTACAGACAAACATTTCGTGCTTTTTTGGTAACTCACCAGTATGGTCTAGGCTTATTGGTCTCTAGGACAACCAACGAAAGCATAGCAACTATTCTATATCCAGGACAAAAGGTCTATGGCGCTCTCATTTAGATGGGGTCTAACTTGTGCTGAACATAATCGTTTATGAACTGATGACGTCATTGCGTGGTAAGTGTCAACCTACCTTTAGTCCAAGCCAATGGTATATATTGCTAGATCTTGGTATAAAATTTACCTTGCTAGACCTAAATTGTGAGAGGTGTGCGCCTCCCCTAGAGGTATCCCACCCACTGCTCTTCAATTGTTACAAGAGCATTTGGTCTCAGAAGCTTTAAAATGCTTAAGTGTATATATTCATGTATATGGAAGACTTTTTCTTTGGGATATCGACAAATTATGCTAAGTGTACCCTTTTGACTTACAATACTCAAGTTTTCGACAAACTATGCTGCCATCATTAGGAGGTAAAAAACAAATTCAAAATAGTAAAACAGCAACCATGCTCAACTGATTAGAAATAATTGTACTTACTCCGTCGGTGAGAATGGTGCTAGTATTCGATGTAAAAAAATGTAAAATACCAACTTCACGCCAAAATTTCTAACCTCTCGACCACGCGAGCATTTTTAGGTTATTCAAAAATGTAAATTTTAAAAGTTGAATGGAAAAAATATATCTAATTAATTGTTGCCTAAATCCTTCTGCAGTGGAGTATTAAAACAGAGTCATGTTGTTGCATCGTTTTTTGCCGTAGATCCAGTTTTTTATCACCTTACCATGTGTCCTCTTTTACATTTTTTAACATCGAATACTAGCACCATTCTCACTGACGGAGTAAGTAAGATGATTTCTAATCAATTGAACATGGTTGCAGTTTTACTATTTACAGAGAAACTCGGAGGTATCTATTTCAAGTTATTATTAAATATATTTCATTTTAGAGTTCCATGTTATATTGCTACATTTTTGACAAGTTTTTTGTTACTATTTTGAACGCGCATGCATGCAAGGTTTGGGTAAGAAACACTCTGTATAGTCTATGTAAATTATATTATCTACTTACTCGCATTCTTTAGCTGAAAATAGGAAAGTTGGAATGTTGGTGATGGACAATTCATTGGTCTCCGGAAGTCTAGCACCTAAAGTTTTGTTCAAACAATCTTGCACGCCTTGCTTCTGTTCGTCAACGCATTCTATACCGCCTTCTGCCACAAACACTACAAAAGATATACGAAATTATATGATGATAGATTAATATAATATTAATAAATAATCTCCAGAGCTAATGAAACGTTGCCATCAACAAACTTCATATGTCCTCATATTCGTCATTAGTATGTAGGACCATTGATATATAGAATACGTAGGTCACTGGTGCCACTCTTTGCTAGCCATATCATATGCCGGCCAAAGCGGTTATGTTGGACTGGTTACCCAGAAATTTAGATTTACAAGAAGGGGAGGAAGAAGGACATGGAAAGATGTTGCATTTTGACCATCAATGTAGCACCATTGTTTTATTTATAAATTTTAAACCAATAATGTGACAGTGATAGAATGTGCATATAATAATATACAATGTTAACGTTTGTACGTACTACATATTATCTTTGTGTTTTCCTTAGACGATTTCGAATTCTCTATTCTCTTTAAAATGCCATAATTGGAACAGATGTGTAAATGCTAGTGAAATCAGTTGTTGACACCAGTAATAAATGTTCATTTGTGACGGAAGCTAATCTGTATTTTTCTCGAAAGCTATTTATTATCCATAAATTTAGCAATTTGTCTCGAAGCAGTGTTTACCCAACTCTAAATAAATATTAACTTCTGATAAACGTTACCGGTTTTTAGAGTCAAGAATGCAGGAAGATGTTATATTAAACGTTGTCCATTTTACCAAGTGGCCAAATTTAGAAGGCCATTTCATGCTAGATGATGAAATGGGCAATTCTACGATATGACGACGACAATGACTAATGTGGAACAGAAAATGTCTGTAAGAAATGTGATCTCAGCCGACAACAGAAGTATACACTGTTATCGTAGTCGTGTAACGTAGCTGCAACAAATATTTATATAAGACCTATTAATTTACGGCAAAACCCTATCATATATTTGACGTCATAAATCTATCATCCTGGTGTAATAGATAATAAAAAACACTATAGAAGATTATAGAATTTCTTTCTATTTCACGGAGCACTAGTCAGAGAATAGTGCAATTTCACTGTTTCGACTTTTCATAATAAATGATGATATTGTGTAACACTGTTCATGTACCTATGACTACCATTAAAAGAACCAATAAGAACAATATTTTAGTGTTTCTCATATTGGTGATTTTGTACAACGCACCTGTAAATTAGAAACATCTCTCCTATAAACAACGATTGTTCAGGAAGCTTTGACATTCGGTTTTCCATGAAGCATTCATATGTGCACATCGTGTACCTTGACTTGCGATTTTCTATAACTCCTTGAACTTTGGATATACATGAATGGTACGCCTATACACTTGTAATACTCTAGCAAAAATTGTCTGATTGTTGGTGATGTATTTAATAATACACTCGAATAGTGCTTTTCAGAATGGTCCCCACTTAATTTTTTGACCGGATCAAGTTAGCAAGCTGAAATTCTGGACAATCATACGGATGCACGAATACTAGATTTTCTTCAATAGCATGGGGGTGTTGTGATACCTTATTTTGAAGATTATTATATGGGGACATTATAAGTATAAATCTAGCATTATGATTATGAATTGTTGTATAAGCGATTCTAATGTACAAAAATTCACCACACAACCCACCAGTCCGCCATTTTGAAAGAAGGAAAAACAAATTATACTCTAGTGCTACAAAGTACCAATAAGGAGCATCCAAGTGAGGTATCATGTGACCCCCTATTCCATTTGAAAATAGTCCAAGATGGCGCATCCAACCACTATCTTGAAATTTTCAACCGTCACTTTTAAGTAAAAATGTAGGATTTATACATCACCCGGAATTGTAGATTGCTAACTTGACCTGTTCAAGAAGTATGTGGGGGGGGGGCGATCGTTTCAAATGCATTATAATTATAATCCCCCATATTTGTCTGGCCAATGGAACCAAATAAATTTGAAATTCTTCTTTATGTAGTATACGTTTTGCTCAAAACGGTGACCTTCAGCACACGACTCTTTTGATAATATTTCATTGGAATACACATAATTTATGTGAAACAGATATGATATTGCTTGGGCAGCTGGATAAAAGCTATGAATCTCTCACAGACGACTGAAGTTTTGGTATCAATTGACTGAATTGAATTCAGACAATCACAATGGGATTTCGGAGTTCAATATGTATGTATAGGAATGTATAAATGATTTACAAAAAGTGTTCATTCGAAAATCGAGTTTTCTATACCTTTTCTGATGATATTTTTCTCAACATCTCGAAAATAATCGATGGACTGATCTCGATGAAACGTTAGCAACTTAACTATCCCGGAGAAATCAACACATATTGATGAAGTTTAAATTAATTTTGGTATTCAATTTTACACTGTCTTCAAAAAAAGCCACTAAGGTGACCAAAACGTTGTTTCATTCAACGGCCATTGAGATTATTTCATGAAGAGCTGTGCGCTGCTGAACTCCTAAGTTTCTGATTTTCCAAGTATGCCACTCGTCATTTATGAATTCTGTGAAGTGACAGAAGTTCAGGGTAACATTTATAGATGTTCCCTGAGGATTGAGTACTATTTGAGGAATGATCTCTCCATGGAATTTAAAGAAACAATATCGCTTCCTCGAGGAACATTCAAGGGAGGATTTAACTAAGATGAGCATCCGATTTAGTAGATCTGGGAAAAGCCTCCTTATGTAGAATGTTCCACAATCTCAATACCTAGGGACAAACGAGCGGTCGTATCGGCAAGTTCGACACGGTTAAGATGGGAGGCCTAAGTCAGGCTGGACTGTCTGTCATGGAGGAAAGCTCTGAGGAGCAAAGCCCGTCAACGTAGCAATAGAAGAGAGTTAGATTGCAGGCGGCCCGATGGTGCGAAAAGGTCCTGAGACTGTTTGTTATCGATCAGTCGGACAGCCTTTCTCTGAACAGCATCGAGCATGGATAATGCAGTCGGGACGGTAGTACCCCAAACATGTGAGCAACACTCGAGGCTAGGTCTTATCTGGGTCTTATACAGAGTGAGGAGGTCACGTCGATGAAGTACTTCTTAGCCCTTCTTAGCTTTTTCACCACAGCTGCCGCTATTCACGAAATATGTTCGTGCCAGATCAAGTCCTTGGTGATCTAGACTCCGACCAGCCGAAATGAACGGCTTTTTGGCAGAACTCGGCCATCTAGCGCTAGGACGCTTCTTGTTAGTCAAGGTACAGCACTGTGTTTTGGAAGCATTTAATTGTATCTACAAGGTTTTTGGGTCCCCAAGCAGTGATAACCTCCAGCTCTCTCGTCAAACAGGAAGTCGCTGATAGTCTTCCTTTCTCCAGCTCACCAACAGAGATCGACATTTATAAAACTTTCAAATTTACCAAAAATGCCGAAATTTACAATTATTGCAATTTTCAGAATTATCTTCAAATCTCAAAACTCCAAATTCTTCAAAATTTCAAAGCCAAAACTAAAAATATTTTCAGAATTTTCCATATCTTGAGAATTTTGAAAATTCTGGTGGTTTCAAAAAATTTTAAAAATTGTCAATACCTGTGATTACAATTCTTACAGCCTGCTGTGAAAGGCAAATGTTAGGTTCCCCCCTGAACGTCTCTCAGGAAACCGAAACCGATACTGTCTGAAATAAAGGAGAGATCGTCAAGGAACGTCTATAAATGTGACCATCAGTGGCGAAGGTGAAAGCATCCGTAAGAGCTAACATATCGTACGTGCACAAAGCACATACTTGAACGATATTGGCTTAAATATCATCAAAGATAACTACTTACTGGCTAACCTATCTCCATCTTTGAAACATACGAACTCCTGCAGTTCCTGAAGTATCGTCAAGCTGCTATTGAAAGCGTTTTGTTCCTGGTTGTCCATACACTGCCTTGCGAAGGTAGTGGCGTTCTCAAAGCATACTTGAATATCAGGCCACTTTTTGCAGTATTTTCCAAACACTTCATCCATCGAACCCGTGTCTTTCGCCCTCTCTAGTTCTTCTTGCACTATACTAGCGTTTATGTATTTTTCCATGCACTCTTTCGCTGTCACTTGTTCAGTCTGCATGGCAACGTGAATTAAAAGGTGATGAAAATTCAATAATTATAAAATTCTTAGGAATCCCGGTGTGAATGTCAATTTTTATGCTGTTGACTTGTTACTTTCCATGCCACTGGCGAGGAAGTATCGTAATAGCAAAAAATTTCGATAATGAGATATTGTGTTTTTTGTATCGTATATGAAATGTGTATGACAAAACACCATATGACTCATTTCCGTCGGTCTGTCTGTCGATTTGTCTGTCCGCTAATCCTTGGCTTGTCTATAACTTGCAACATATCGCACGGATTTTGCTGAAAATGTTTCAAGGCTACTATACCAAAGACGATACACTTTTGTAGTTTTTGAAAGTCGCTTCAGTGGTGGCAGAGCTAGGGGTAAACACGTAAAAAATAAAAAAGCGAAAAAATTCGTTTTTTGAAGTTATGAGACTGCTGATTATTTTTTTAAATCGATTTGGATGAGTTGAAAATTGAGGGTTGTCAATAGCCATTTATAATAATTTTTCAAAGTTCATGACAAAATGATTTACACTCCAGCTCCAAAGAGATAACACTATCATGTACGGACATGCTTATTGCTGCAATCTGAGGATTGTTCCCATAAAAAGCCCAATAGTGTATTAATGGACAAGACCTACGACTTTTGATGGCACTATGTGAAGATGAAATTGCACTACATAGAAACTTGTACTAGAGCTGTTTCCAACTCGTTCTGGGACCTCGGTTGGCCGCGTGGGTCAGAGTGTCGTGCTACTGATCAGCCGGCCGGCCGGGCCGCGAGTTCGAATCTCGCCTTCGCCATGGATGTTGTGTGTTTGTTTTAGGCAGCAGTGGTGGCCGCAGTAGTAGACTCTTCGGTCTCCTGATCAGCCGCCGTGCGCTGTGCGGGTTCGAGTCCCGTCCCAGGAGAAATTTTTCTCTTGGCTATGGATGTTGTGATTGTCCGTAGGTGGTAGATGGTCTCTGACTGTCGAACGCGGAGGTACCACCCGGCGGTTCTCGTAGGCGGAGCCAGAATGTGTGCATGTTGCATGCACACGTGTTCCCTCGCCAGAGTCCGTGTGGCGTCCCCCCTTTCCCATGTATCCCCCCATAGCCCCACGGTACCCAATGGGTGCTTAGGCCTTAGGCCTTCGTGGTAGTTGAAGTATAAAAAAAAAAACGTGGAAACATTAGAGTTAATCTACTTGACGGCATTTTTTACGTTAAACACACAAGAGCATTTCAAGATATTTCTAGATATTGTCATTAGGAAAATCCATCAGATTTCCGTCGGTCTCTCAGTTGGGGCTTTTCTAACCGTTTATTCTTTGAAACAACCGGTCGAATTTTTCAGTACTTCCCGCGAGCTTATCGCATCTAGGCTGGGACATGAAGTCTTTGGTTGCATCTACAACCGACATTTGTTGAAAACGGTACGTACCTATAATAACAAGAATACGGGTACGGGGTATTAGAAGAGACTTATTACTCGAGTTCAGTGTTCTTTTTTTTGTGATTTGAAGGTCAAGACAGTTTTCTTGAGTGAAACTCCTGTTTTTGACATGACCTTGACCATGATTTTCATGGGTATTTGAGACCGCCCAGAAAGTAGGGAAGTATAGGGAAATAGGGAAGGTATGAAATATCTCGAATTCATAAAGAAAAATGTTAGGTAATAGAGTTGTAAATTTGAAAGATTCACCCAATGGTGACCTTCAAACGTGACCGTGACTGTGACCTTCAAGATCATTTGCAGGTTAATTCAGCATTCTTAAATGAAAACTCCTATTCTTGACACCAGAAATAAAAAGAGCAGGAAACATTATTTTCAAGTATGTCCATGAACTTGACAATGACCATCAAGGGCATTTGAAGATTGAATGAATTTTTAACAGGAAACATCTAATTAACCTGACCATGACCGTCAAGGTCAGTTTGAGATCAGATACGTTTTCAAGTAAAATCCTTACTTTCTGTCACGGATATGAAAAGTAGCTATACTACATTACTTTGAATATTGCATCTCTTTCTCCAAAACCAACCTCCTTCACACTGATGCGAAACGAATGACCTATACTTTACACTACTTCCACGCAAGCGAAGCCGCGTGTTTTGTTTAGTATACTATATATCGCAAAATATTCCATTTTACATGTCGATTATGATGTTTCCAACTCATTTAACTAATAATTTAAAATATCTAGTTACCGAGTGTCAAACTGGCAAACTCAAAATATGAATGCAATAGACAGCCGATTTAGTTTGGAGTGATCCAGTAAGGTAAAAATGTCTTTTTTAACATTAAAATCCGTTTTCAAACATGATCGCGTCTGTTGGTGTAATTAAGAAGGAGAACTACATGAGGAGCTATACTCAAAAATACTTATTTCTGAACCGTTCTAAAATATTTCGGAGTGTTAGGACCAGCTGTGAAATGTCACATTGAAACTGACAGGATATAATTTCAAATGTCGTTATTATTCACCTAGGTGTTTTTTGTTTTCATCATTTACATAGTGATATGAGTGCTACTCTTAATGAGAATTTGCGGTCATTAAATGCGATTTCTTGAGTTATTAGTTATTATTAGTAGTAAAAAACAAACGAACGTTCGGGCCTTAGACATGAAAATAGAATGGATTCACGTGATACCTACTTTGCATAAAAGTTTTGGATACACTAGTCAAATGTTTTATGTTAATATGACCTAAAATAAGTGTTCAGAATGCTGTGAAATAAAACGGCAAGTAAAATAAAAATAAGTATACCTGCTTTGGAAAATTTCTTGTGTGTTAGCCTGAAGATAACTTACCTTAAGTAGGTCGACAGCATTATCACTACCGCTCACTTTTTGGCATTTTTCCCTCAAAACTTTCTCTACTTGTTCCAATTTTGGTAGACTAGACATATTCAAATTCGCAAGTTCGGGCGGTAAATGTTCTTGAATCTTCTTCAGGTTATCATCACTGTCTAAATCGTTGAAGGTCTGAGAGTACACCAATCCTAAAAACAACAAACATTTATACAGGGTGGCTCATCGAAAACGAAACAGACGCATTTACTTGCAGCTCAGTTTTTTTTTGGAAAAACGCTCAGACCCGTCGATTGTGTTTTCGAGGGGGACACAAGTTTGGCAAAAAATCACGTTAACACGTGCAGCCAACTGGGCGGGGGTGACACCAACCCTAAAATCTTAAATGGAAAGGGGGGTCGAGTGATATCTTATTTTAAATGTCTTTCAATTCCCTTTATAATGATGTAAAATACATGAGCTTCAGTTCAGTAGTTTTCAAGATTTATTGATTTAAAGCTTAAAGTAGACTTTAATAGGTACATCAGATTAGTTTGTACTACTTTCAGAAGAGATTTGACTAAAAGAATTTACTTAATAAGTAAATGCTTTTCTTTACTACGCCCATGGTTTGTTTATCATTTTGTTGTTGAAAATAGCTAATGGCGCGTTTTTTTGTGGCAAAAAAGTTATTTCTTGAACAAAGATAAGGAAATATCTCGTACTTATTTTAAATAGCAATTTAGTACAAGTTTGCGACTGATTTGGCTAAACTTTGTTGCTAAAATAACTTGTAACGCTTTATTACATAAATTAACCATGGTATATTCCACAGCAGAAATAGTTGAAATTATCGAAATATTTTTTAGAAATAATCAGTGCGCTAATAGAACAGCAGAAATATTTAATGAGCGACATGAGAACAATAACGTGCATCGAAAATATGTTCTAGAACTTGTAGCTAAATTTCGGGAAACTGGGTCAGTCGCCAATAAAAAACGCAACATTGAAAATCCCATAAGGAACGAAGCAATAGAAGTGGGGGTTTTAGGGCAAGTTTATATAGATCCTACGTTAAGTACCCGCAAATTGGAGACTGTGTGTGGTGTTAGTCGACGTACTGTCCAACGGATTCTAAAGGCCCATAGTTTTCATCCGTATAAAATTCACCTGGTACAAGAACTTAATGAAGACGATTTTGATCGGCGATTACATTTTTGTGAAGATATGAGTGATCGAATTATAAACGATGAACATTTTTTATTCAACACTTGCTTTTCCGACGAATGTTCCTTTTTCTTAAATGGCGCAGTAAATCGTCATAACTGCTGATATTGTTCCGATTCTAATCCCAGAATTTATCATGAGGTTAATACACAGCCGCCACAAAAATTAAATGTTTGGGCTGGTATTTTTGGCGATCATTTAGTTGGTCCTTTTTTCTTACCTGGAAATATGACCGGTGAAATGTATTTGGAAATACTGGAAGACGCCATAGATCCTGCATTAGCAGCCATAATTGAAAATCAGAATGATCGGCGGTACGTTGCGAATAGGTTGATGTTCTAACAGGATGGTGCCCCACCACATTGCGCATTACGTGTTCGACAATATTTAGATCAGACGCTTCCAGATTGATGGATTGGTAGAAGAGGTGCCATTGAATGGCCTCCAAGATCGCCAGATTTATCACCTGTGGATTTCTTTATGTGGAGTCATTTAAAAAGCAAAGCCTATGCTACTCAGCCAACATCATTAGAAGACCTGCGACAAAGAATTGTGAATGAGTGCCTTCAAATTACTTCTCAAATATTGCAAAATGTGCGGCAACGTTTTGAGCAAAATCTTTTATTATTGCATGGAGAGTCATGGTGGTCAGTTCATTCTTCATTTTTAAATTACTTTGCTGCCAAATGTATTGATCTCCACTAATGATGATGTATTAGTTTTATTTAAGCTTTTAATCAATAAATCTTCAAAACTACTGAACTGAAGTACATTAAGTTTATATCATTATAAAGGGAATTGAAAGCCCTTTAAAATACGGTATCACTCGACCCCTCTTTCCATTTAAGATTTTGGGGGTGGTGTCACCCTCGCTTAGGGGGCTGCACGTGCTAACGTGATGTTTTGTCAAACTTGTGTCCCCCTCGAAAACAAAATCGACAGGTCTGAGCGTTTTTAAAAAAAAAAACTGAGCTGCCAGTAAATGCGTCTGTTTCGTTTTCGATATGCCACCCTGTATTATATAGTATGTAGGTAGGTACATATTTTTATTATAGGACTAGCCGACTACTTATACCACCGACGATAAATAGATATATTGTCGGTGACATATACCTAGTTATTAAATTTACTGGGCTTTACCATTATACTTTTGAGCATTATTATGTTGCTGAAAATACAGACACAAGCATAACTTTCATTTAGTTTCTACACACGGTGTTACAGACTGTAATGAGAAAAATTGAGAATTTGATACCTAAAATTATGAAAGTTCTTCATATAGCCATAGTTGGAGTAATCCACATAACGTCCATGAAAATAAATCTTTGCCTACCTTGATTCTAAATACGAGCACATGCTTTATTTACCGTACTGCCCACATATTCAAAAACACCAGAGACCTCTTATCGTTAATTAAATGAAAATTATATAATGTATAATAGCCAATTAGATGATTATTAAATGCGCGTTTGCTAATCAAAGAAAGGATGCCTCAAATTGATCATGTCACATTTTTCCATAACAATTATTATCAACAACGCTAAATGAGCAAATAAAGTTTAATAACAAACCTTATCATGCATTCACCATACAAGTCAATTAATGCTGGTGTAGAATAATTTGATAAAATAATGCATTAAACTACTATTTACATATACCTAAAAATACACTGTTTTTATTTCTATATGCATCGAAATTACGTCAAGTACTGAAAACGCACACAATTTGTTACGATTGAAGAAAAAATGCGCAAAAAATGCATTTTTGACAAAAAAGAAACAGAACATTGTTTTTCAGTGATCTCCATACACACAATGAAACAATCAGATGAACAGTTTTAAGAATACTCTTCCAGGCAGGCTGTTGAAAAAAGGGACATGCGACGGTAAAAATTATAATACGTTCAACCACCCAGAATTTATGATTATAAAAATGTTTTATTGAGACGTTTATTGCTCAAATTATGTGCTGCTATGACACCATTAAAATACTTTTTGCATCCAAACGAAACATTAGGTTGTTGATATTATATATTATATATTTCCTGGGAGTCCGAAAGGATCTTAAAATTTGTGGTTTTGTGTACATTTTGGGTATTTTTAGGAATTGCTTCCCTCCGCATTTCAAAAAGTTTTTGGGCCAACTACAATTTCACAAAAGGTTATATCTCGCCGATGGTCGCCCACCACTTGTGTAAAATTTCTGCGGGCGCCCATGGGTAGAATTATTTTCTCCACAGAGTCTAGAGAGTTGCTAAAACGATTGCATAAAGAATACGCTCAATAGTTGTTTCAAGTCCAGGTTGTAAAATGCTGCAGAGTAAAATGAGGTTTTAATTAGAGCAATATGAATAATCATTACCGCATGTAATCGGGGGAGACTGGAAGACATTTTTACATGATAACCTAAATCGAGGTTCCTAAAAACGCGGCCAATGTTAAATTTTGCTCGTTATAATTATTTTATCTTATTCAGTGATCTGTGTAACCGTAATGTACGCGTCCTCTCACAGTTTTCAAGAAAACATCAATACCTTAGTGATTGATATTTTGAAATATCGATACTACGGCTATAATAGAAATATTACATGAGCAGATAGCTCTTACGGTGCAAAACATCGAATAGGGCAAGGTCTTTGATATAGAACAGCTTCACTGGGAGGCCATACAATGGAAGTTTGCATAAGAAGACAGCATACTACCGCTGATCAAAAGCTTTCGCGATATCAGGAGCAACGACATGAGCCTGACCATATGGCTGGATAACACTCCCCACAGTTGTGTGACGTACGCTAGGAGGTCCCTCGTTGATCGTTGGTGCCGGAAAGTATAATGTGACCTTAAGTAAGCCGTAATGTTCGGGATACTCCAGAAGCTATGTATATATATATATATATATATATATTACGTTTAAAGTTTTCAATCGACTACTGAATACTCAATGCCCAACAATTCCAGCAGGTGGATGCTTCATTCCATGCTTTGCACTGTACAAGTATGTATTTCTTTGGAAAGAGCTATATAATGTAATTCTTCGTTCACACTAAATTACAAGGGTTAATGCAGCCAGCTCTTGGGTTGTTAGTTACAATGTGCATAGTAATTTGTTATAGCCGGCAAGAACGTTTCGAGGAAAAGAGCTTTGGCGCGTTTTGAATAGCGTGTCTCTTTAGTAACACGTGAGGGAACACTTCTCGTCATCAAATGGAAAGAAGCATTATCGGCGCTTAATGGGAGCATCCATTTATAAATCAGATTGTTTTAAGGCACATTTTTGTATTCTGGTTGTCATAACGCCATCAAACTTATGAATCTTATTTATTATACCTTTTTTGAAATTTGGCCTCCCTCCAGAGCTTTTTTCTTATACACGGCACTGGTAGCAGGTGGTAGCGAGAAACGTAAATTTTCCATGAGTAGGAAAATTCCGATACACTTAATTATTTCATTCATCTTGATATCTGATAATCGGATAGAATACTTTTCACCGAGATGTTTTGAATGTATGAAATAATTAAATGATAAGATTAGATGCACAATAAGTACATTTTTAAATACTCAAAATTAGAGATATTCTCAAATGTTTAAAGGGTTTATCATCATCACTACAAATAGATACATAATATCAACAAAAACATAAATTTTTTTCTGGAAAAATCATGCCATATGTCTTATAAAAATGTCATCATACATATATTGGGGACGCTACTAAGTATACATGACTTTTCAACGAAATTTCGAGTGTTTTCTTAGGTGGCGACCTATATTATAGTGTCAATAGAAAATAAACGCCAGAGACAATAATTTGCCAGAATGATATTTTTGGCTAAAAAAATTGCTGTTCCATTTCGTTAAAATGAACCGTTTCTAAGAAAAAAAAACAGTAGTTTTAATTCAGTCTCTATCGATTCACACTGTACCCGATCTTCAAAAATGTTTACATTGACTTAACATTGATGATGTGGAATCAGTATATTGGATCCAGTATCATAATTTATGAAACTGAATTGAAACGACTCTGGTTTTCCTCAAAGCTTATTGCATCGATTTTTTAGCCAAGAAATAAGGCTTTTTAAAAACATCAGTTTTGACCCGTTTTCAAATCAGCTTTTTAGAAGAATTGTAGTAAATTAGTAAACGGATAGTTTTCGCTGTCAGCGTAGGTCAGTTTAAAGATAGTGGGCGCTAAAGTTACTTTACCGCCCTAGGGAATGAAGTTCTCTGAGTGCTGAACAGTGGTACTTTTTTATTACATTTTCATAGAATGTTTTAAGGATCAATAATCTCAGATATTATGAAGCTGAATTTAATTTCCCTGCTGCAGTAAAATCCGGTATTTCAATTCAGATTCGAATATGGATTCAAAACAAAGTTGTTAGAAGTAGCATTTCATCAAACGAAGACAGATTTGGTACACAGACATTTGATGTCGGACCCAGCATCATGAAAAAAGACAGAAATACATAAAAGAAAGATAAAGTAGATATTCAAAACACGTTTTTATGGTTGGTAGTCGTCGACTTTAGGAAAAGTCCACATTCCATTAACATTGAAAACATGTTGAGCGCAAGGTCGTTACCGCGGACCAACGATCAACGTTCATCGGTGTCAAAGTTTACTTTTTATAATTGTTTCATCATTTGTCTTCATAGCTCACTGTGATCCTAAACCAATCACAAGACTAATCACCTTAATACAATAACCAGAACCACGTTCATTTGTGGCACGATGTTTACTTTCCACGCCAACTGGCGGGGAGATGTACATCACGAAAGACCGTGTCACTAATTGCTATCAGTCTGTCTGTCGGCATGTCTGTCTGTCCGATGATCCTTGGCCCACCCATAATTTGAAAAGGTGCCAAACATATCAAAAGACGGAAACCAAATAAAAAAATTGCTCAAACATCATTTTTGGACGTTTCAAAGGATTTGAAATAATGAGATGTAAAAAATGGACGATGGAGAGTTTTAGGGCATAATTATCACAAAATGTATCATGCCATCGTACAAGTTTAATGGTTTCCACGTAACGGAAGCGAGGTCATAAAAATTTGCCTCATAAATAAGTGGAAAAATTCCTGTCAACAATATGATTCATAAGTAAATGTTCCGATACTTTTTGTTTGATAAGGAATACGAGATTGTCCCACATTTTTCAGTTACTAAAGAGACCTGCCATTCAAAACGCGGTAGGTGGTCTTGAGCCCCAATGCCCCCGGTGAATACGCCCTTGTGTTTGTAAAGCTTTCAGGAGTATTCGTGATGTTCAAGATTTCCTGATTGTTGAAAACATTAGAAACTCATCCAGTCCCACTTCATCGCTGGAGCTGGTTTATTCAATAAATAATCAGTTACCACTAGATAAGTGTATATTGGAGTAGTACAGTTGGTATAAAGGGTCAAAGGTGGCCTAGTTTTCAGGTTTCGCTATGCCCCTATCCGTTCTTGAATGATTTTCATTACTATATTAACAATTTTAAAGCTCCTCAAAATCCGATTCTGTGGGTTTCTCAAGTTCCTTCTGATTTTAAAGTACCGTAAACTTGGGTTACTTTGGTCCACTTTTGAACTTTACATTATGATAAGTTTTACACCAAATGATATTAATTTTTGTTTCCAGTCGCATTTTATGTGTTTGTATTAGTACTTTGAACTTTGAAATGGAGAAGCTAAACACATTCTAAATATATATTTTTTTTAAAAACCTGGGTGACCAAAGTCAGATGACGAAGTTGGGTTACTTTGGCCACATGTTGTTCTATTTGGAAAACGCAAATACA